AATCGCGACGTACCTCCTCCCCCAAAGCCATCCCACCTGGTGAAAGCTAATCACTTCTTGCAGGGTTAGTTTCCAGCCAGATAACAGTTAGTTTTTCAGCCTCCTCAACTGACTTGCTACACAGCAGCACAACCCTCAACGCTGGCGTACAGAAAAGAGGGCCAAAACACTGTCCAGAAGAGGCAAAGACTTTTTCTAGTCCTGCAGACTAGCTTAAACCAAGCACAAAATCATCCTTTTAGGCTTACTGTGCTGTCACTGGATTCAGAGCGAGTCTTCAAAGAGAGATTTTTAAACTCTGAATTGCCCTTTAGAAGTGCCCCTATAACCCCACGTACCGTAGGCCTGTGGGTGCTTAAGCTGGAGTCACAACTAAACTCCAGAATATAGTTGGCATTAATCAAGACCATAATGTTCCCCCACCAAATGGCAAGGGAGTTGAGCACAGCATAGACACACACTTAAAACTGCAGCACAATAAAAATAAAATAATAATAATAATAATAATAATAATAATAACAACAACAACAACAACAAAACCCCAGCATAACCAGGATGGTTATGTGGGAGTTAGCTGAAGATGGCCGGAGGGAGGAGATGCCAAGCATTCTTGAGTGCACTGCAAGGAACTTTCAGTCCCGTTGACTTCAATGGGGCTTGAATCAGACTGTGTCTCTGCTGTGGAAAGGAACTGCGTAACACAGCATCGTGGGGTTCCTCGGTTTTTGTCTCTGAGCAATTCCTGGCAAAGCCACTGGTTAGTAAGTGAAAACACACTTTTTCCAGTCACCAGGACTGCAAGCCGTACCTGGATTTGGCTTCTTTTCTTTTCTTTCGCTTTTTGTTGTTGCTACGATTCTGATAGATTTGCAAATCTGGCTCCTTGACTGGGTGCTGACTTTACAAACCCAAGTTCGGCTACTGAAGCGGGGGGAAGGCGGGGGGGCCTGACCTTGGAGCGGATTATTTCCCCTTCAGTGGGACGGCTCTGCCTGCAGCTTGACTCCAGCTAATAAGCGGCATTCAGTGTCAGCCCAGCAGCTGCCATGCAGGAGGTCTGTCCCTTCGGGCAGCTGCTGCTCATCTGCCTGCAGCTGGCAGCGGAAGTGACATCTGTTCTCGGTCCCAGCTGTGAGCAGCGCGGAGGTGCCAAAGCCCGAACGCCTCAGTTCTCGATCCAGGAGCGAGGAAGGGTTTCTGATGCCAGACCACGGCCTGGCTTGCAGGGGAAGGGAGGCGGGGGATCGTCTCCTTCGACGATGGTGGGCTGGGAGGAATGGAAAGGGAGTGACAAATAGGGAGAGAAAGAACAAGTAACAGAAGTAGGGGAAAGGATGGGAGAAGAGTGCAGGAGAAGACAGGAATGGCTGAAATGGAAAGGAAACCTGAAATGTCATGGTTCTCTCACTCATCTAACTTTGTAACTGTGTTATCATTCAGTATTGTGGCATTTTAACTGAATTATAATTTCAGTTTCTGAGACAGGAATACGTGCAGGATGAAGGACAAGATCCATTTCAATCTAAAGACTGAAAAGCATACTTAAAATTGACCTGGGAATAAAGAAAGAAATGCCACTTTGCTCCCCAGGTTGGTGTATGCAAGCCGAGTATATTCTATCATAAACGTATTTTCACAGTTGGGACTGTTTCCTCAGCACAGGCACTGAAACTGTGGTTTTCAGATCTCAAAACTAATTGAGTATTCCTGGAAGAAATAACCAAGCAAAATGCATATTCGACAAGTGCTTTACAGCCCTGTCAATCAAAATCAACTTACACCGGGAAAAATGCAGTGCCAGTGACTGTTTCTTTCCCTTGGTGCTTGCCAGAAGCACAAGACAAACTCAATTGTGGTAAACAACCGGGCTGAGGAATGGGCCGCGGGAGACAGACATCGTAAAAACTTACCAGTCTGAAGTTGAAAGGGCAGGCATTGGGGGCACACAGATTTGAACCCATTTTGATACTTTGCCTCGGTATCTTACTGTAGACACCCAGAGTGGGGCATTAGTCATCGAACTGGGTGCCATTACAAATTATTCAAAAGCGGGTGCAAAAGATTGGCTTGATTGAGTTGGGCAGGAATAACGAAAGCAGTTTCTTAGTTTCTCAGAATTCAGCTCTTCAAGATCGGCTTTAAATAATGTAGTTATCGTTGAACTTTTTATATCACAATGATATATTTCTATCAGATACAGATAAGGTATATATTTATATCTTAATATTTCATAACAGATTTTCCCAATGGGAGCCCTTAAAGATAGTCTTTTTACAAGTCTCAGCAGTTCCCCCTGTTTCAGTGAGAATTAGTTGTGGTTTTAATAAGTGATCTTTGAATCACATGAGGAAATTCCTCTGAATACCATTCTTTCACTACCTACACAAAGAGAAAAATCTACCATCTAGTAAACTATGCGTCTGACTTAATCAACCTAATAACTAAATACTCTTTTTTTCCAGTCAGACAGGAATAAGACTAGTGCATCTGTCATACGGACCAGAGAGAATAATCAGAAATCTTAAAAAAAGTAAGGTCGAGGCACTACTAATACTCTGAAGGGCTCAATTCATCCCGCAACACACAGTTTTTACAAGTACCAGCCATTTATATGTCCCAGTCATCAGAGCAGTCACGCTGGGCCAGGCCAAAGGCAGCTCTCGCCCAGAAGTCTGGCTCCTGCGGGAACAAGGTTAACATGAGCCTATTCCTGAATCCCAAAACCTTCCTTATCAGGAAAAAAGGGAGGTTATCAAATCTTTTAAAATAATCTACTTATCAAGTGGATGCTTGATAAGATGAACTAGCATTTTGCAGATCAAAGTTATGGATGAAGAGGAGGGAGATATGAGATAATAAATGCTTTTGTGTATCTGGAAGTAAATGTGCTTTTCTTCAGAAAATAAAACCTGAACAAAAACCAGTGACCAGTAGCAAGTGTCCAAGACAAGGAGAACAGAGCAAACAAACTATGACCCTTCTCTGGTGGAGTGACCTACAGACAGGAGAAGTTGCTGTATGATCAGAAAGTGCCAAGCAGTAATCGGGAACCTTACGTATCTTTGGAAGCTTCTGTTTGGATGGCACCTGGAACAGCATTGTGGAGATGATGAGGCTCTGGTGTCACACAGAAACACAAATCTGAATCCACCAAAAGCTTTAAGGCATCCAGACACACTTTTTGTTCTACAGCCTACATCAGTTATCAAGATGAGCTAAAAGCTTCATTGTGATATTTTTAAAGTCAACTAGAGTTATGCCACTGATTACAGTAGGGTCACTTCTCACCCTGTTTCTCTTTGCTTTTTGGTTTGGTCTTGGGTTTTTTTGGTTTTGTTTTTAATTCCACCATCTTCTAACCTTTTCATTCTTTCAGCCTTTTTCAGAGGGCCATCAAACCATCTTTTTCAAGCTAGGGAGCCTGGAAGCTAAAGAAAAAAAGATTTTACCTAGAAATTCTTCTGCCAACTGATCTAAGACAAATGAAGTAATTTAATTTTCAGATTTTGTGTCAAGTGGATGGGTTTCAATATACAAATCTAATTCATTCAACTTTGCAGTTATGAAAAGCATTTCTAAGGCCATATTCTGTATTCTCTTTTCTGACGAACACTACCCAAGGAATACTAATTAGAGTGCTTGAGGAGTAAGGTAAGCAAGGCTGGCAGAGTCTGAACTTTTATTTACTCTGTGTTATCTCTGTCCAAATGTTCAAAGCAATATGGGTGGTGACTGATTCACTAGTTAAATTCAAAACAGCATGTGTGTACAAAAGGCTGCCAAGTTTCTCATGTATATTGCTATTTGTGAGAAGATATGCACAGACAAAAAACAATCAACCAGTTTCTTAATTTTATTTTATATCTTTATTCCCATTGTAAGTACTAACAATCATCCAAAAGACCATTTAAATTTGGTTTGGATACACAATAGCATTAATCACAGTCCAGTTTCTTTTTTTTTTTTTTACTGCAGTTCTAGTATTTTGTGATCTGTTTTAGTAGTTCTGTTGTTGGTGTATTTGCTTCCAGCAAAACAGATTTTTCAGTGTTTGTAGATTATTTAAAAAGATTGTTAAAGATTAAAAAAATCCATAACACAATGATTAACAGTACATTAATAAAGCTTATTATCTTCTGTTTAAGACTAGTACTAAGTACGTTTGATGACCTGAAACTTTTTCTTGTGCACTGTCTGTTCTCTTTTCAAAATAAGTCCATAAACAACCATAATATAATTTTTCATTACAGCTGTTCATTGCAGTAACATTTTTAATTGGATTGAAATCTTTTTAAGAGAATGAGGTAAGTAAAACAACCCCACACAGTAAAAGGTTCTGTTTAAGCAAATGATAAGTTACACACAATCCAATGCTAAGGCAGTATCACAATGTATAAATTAGAGTGGATGGAAAACATAAAGGATTTTCTAAATTCACTTGCTTATTATTATGTTGGGAAAACACATCATGGATTGTATTCCAGTCTTCAAGTGAAGAAGAGTCACAAAATACAGTCAAAGAGACATCTTTCATCATGTCTTTTAAAAGCTCGTGAGACGAATTCCTTCATCAAATTCATTAATGTAAAAGTAAATTCAGAAAATTTATTTGTGAAAGCTGTCAAGTCATGAATACCAATAATAAATTCTGCAGTTCCTCATTTATTTGCATACTCTGCATATGAACAGGCATGACTATATATATGAATAAAATATGCCTATTGTATACCCATACAGAGAGCTAATATGAATGCTTATGTTGTACAATGTCAGAAAAGGACAAATTATTAATGCGGATGATGCTTGAGAACTTTGTTAGTTGTCTTAGGATGACTTCTGTGTGGAAGAAAACGTGTGCTTTGGCTATAGAACAGTCAGCTAACAACTCTGTATTTTATCGTGTAATGAAGGAAGTTTGGGATCAAACCCAGCTTCTAAAAGGGATTTAAAACAGAGATATAGA